GCATAGCGGCCGCCGTGAGAGACCAGCCCTCACGCACCCCCTACGCTGTTGTGCATGTGCTGTGCTGTGTTGTGCTGTGCTGTGCTGTGCTGTGCTGTGCTGTGCTGTGCTGTGCTGCGCTGTGCTGTGCTGTGCTGTGCTGCTGTGTTGTGCTGTGCTGCGCTGTGTGAGAAGGAGAAAGCGATGAGGTGAGTGTCGCGGGTGCGGCGCGGCAGTGAAGAAAACCAGAACCCCACGAAACATGTGGGGAAGTATTTCCACCAGTCCATTCAGAAACCCGGCCCTTTCAGAGCTGACGGGAAAAGGGACGAAGAGGCACATCCAGGGAAACAAAGCGAGCAAGGGGGTGGCCTTGGAAGGCCTCTTCGCGGCATCGTTGGGTGCCGCGTGGGGGCGAGGGGAGCAGGACGAGGACGAGGACGAGGACGAGGAGGACGAGGAGGACGAGGATTAGGATAAGGACGACGCGGACGAGGACCCATGGAACCATCTAGAGGTAGTATTGCGGTTGTTGCTGTCGCTGCTGGTATTATCTGGGAGTTTGGGGGGCCCTTTTGGGACCCTCTTGGTTACCCTGGAAGGCTTCTTGGGATCATCTTTGGGGCCATCGGTTACAGGATGAGGGAGTCACCACTTCAGCTCCTCCCTCAGGAGCCAGCCAACCGCTTCTGGGGGCTCTCTCGGAGCGTTGTTGGGCGCTCTTGGAGCGGCCTTGGGGCCGTTTGTAGCATCTTGGGAGCCATATTGAGCCAGCTTGGGCTATCTGAGCCATCTTGGAAGTCATCTTGGGCTCTCTAAGGCCGCTCGGGTGCCTCTTGGGGGCCTCTCGGGTGCCTCCTGGGGCCCTCTTGGGACCCTCTTGGAGCCCTCTTGGGGCTCTCTTGGGGCTCTCTTGGGAGCTTTGGGGCGCCTTTTGGGGCCATCTTCGAAGGGCCTCGATCGAGGCCCCCCCCTCGGGGACCACGATCCTCGTGAGGGGTGTCACAAATTGCCCTCCCAGAGGCCGATCTTGGACGCTCCAACCGATCGCGGCCCCTGCCGTCCAGGGGAGGGGTAGGGGTCAGATGGATTTAGTAGTTGTATGTCGGATTTGCTCTTGCGTCCGATTCATGTTTTAACAGACAATCAATTACGCCCTGTAGTTTCCATCGAACCTCCTGCGCAAATTTCGCAGGAGATTTGGAGCAGACCGATAAGTATAACACATCAAGGCGAAATCCATCACGACGCCACTGCACCCTCAGTCTGCATCTTGCGTTGTAGAGGCGGATCCGATCGAACAATGTTCGAGCGAAGAGATCGACGTAATCTCGAATATGTCGATGCCGCCGCAGCCTACCGATGCACAGCTGGCGCTTGCGGGCCACCAATCGAGCGGCACGTGCCAGCGTCGGTGTTTTTCCTTAAAACGAATGTGAATTTTGACCGTGTAATTCGTTTGGTGTTTTCCAAGATTGGCCGCGCGTGTCAATTGCTTCAACGCGTTTGGTCTCGATGAGGACAAAGTACCCATTGCGCCGACATCACGAATCAGCACGAGGCAGGCTTGGAGGAATCGCTATTCAATTTCATTACGCCATATTGCACATTCGACGTGATTAAAGGTAAGCAGCATCATATATGTGGGATTGGCCCATTCTAGATTATGGTTTTTATTTTTCCCGAATTCTGCGACACATATGTCCTTTAGAACTAACAGGTTGTGTCTCGCCTCACTCGCCTCGTCCTCCCTCGTCGTCACAACCGTCTCGTCCATAGCTTTGTGCTCAGAATGGCCTCGGGGGAGCCGACACCGTACAATTGTCTGGTGCTCCTCCCGAGGACTGAGGGAGCCCCCGCAACCCTCGGGGCTCGCGGGGGCCGACTTCGGGCTCGTCCGACCTTGACGCCGTGACGGCACTTCGCGTGGGCCTCCTCCTGGCGATGGCGGCCGGTGCTGGCGTGCTGCCCGTTGGCCTCGGGGGCTTCGCAGCGCTGCCCGCGGGGGCAGCCGCGGCGCTCGGCGCGGTGCCGAAGGGGGCCCTCCCAGTGCTGCCCAAGGGCGCGCGGCACGCGGCGCCCACGGGCCGTGGAGGAGGCCGAGGCGGCCGCGGCCGAGGCAAGGCTGGAGGGGGACCCCCGCCCGTGCCTAAGGGCATGAAGGCTGCGGGGGCCCTTCGACCGCGGCCTGCAGGCGGAGGCAAGGCCAAGGCGGGCGCAGGTGCGTGCGCTGGGGGCGGCGCAGCTCCAGCGGCCGCCGCGCCTCCGCTCGCAGGGCCGCCTGCTGGGCCGCTTAGGGCTGGAGCAGGGCCAGGGGCCGCGGCAGCCGTGGTGCCCGCAGCGGCAGGGGCCCCGCCAGGGCCCGCCGCGTTTGCCGGTGGCTTCGGGGACGGCTTCGGACCGCCAGGAGGCGTCGGCGTTGCAGGAGGCGGCGGGCTCATCCCGCCCGCGTTCGGAGGCGGCGCGGTCGCGGGCCCTGGAGGCCCCCCCTTCGCGCCAAGAGGAGCCCCCCCAGGAGCTGGGGTTGGCCTCGGCCCGTGCGTGGGCGGAGGCGCAGGAGGCGGGCCCGCCGCCGCCCCCGCCGTGGTGCCCGCGGGCGGCGGCGGCCTCGTAGGCGGCTTCGGCGTCGGAGGCTGGGGCGCGCCCGCTGCCGCGGGCTGGGGCCACGCGCCTGGATTCGACCTCGCCGCGGCCCCAGGGGGCGCGGGACCCTGGATCCATGGCCCGTCGGCGCCCCACGCCCACCAGCGCATGGGACTCATGCCAGGCACGCACGTTGAGGGAGTGCTTCTCGACAGCTCTGCGGGGACTGCTTTGTTTCATGGTCCAGAGTGCGTGGCCAACGACGGGAGCGGGTGCTACGTCGAGGGCGTCTTCGTGGGCACGAGCGCCACGCAGCTGGCGCCCACGTTGTCGGGCTCCTTCGGCGCCGTCGGCGGGTCGGTCCTCCACATGTGCTCGCAGCCGGCCTCGCAGTGCTCGCTAGTCAATCAGTGGCCTGGTCGTGCTGTGCTGCGTGACGGGCGGAGCCTCACCGAGCCGTGGATACAGGGTGTCCAGCAGCTTGCCGCAGGAGGAGGCTCGCCCACAGGAGAAGGCCAGGGGGTCACCCCCGCGGCCGCTGGGGCTGCCGTAGGAGCTGACGGTCAGCCTGGCGCTGGCCCGACGCACGCCGAGCTGCGCGCCAAGGTTGCGGAGCTGAAGGAGCGGCTCCACAGGCGGCGGACGGTGGGGCAGTCACTGGCCTCGCGTGCTGAGGCGGCCTTGTCAGGGAAGCGGCCTCGCAAGAACAAGAAGGACGACTGGGACGGCAGCGAGTCAAGTTTTGACGACGCCTCACACGTCGACGCAGGCCGCCGGATAGATACGATGAGCGCTCAGGTCGTTCGCTACATCACCAGCGCGTGGCACGGGCATCACCCCCAGAGCGAGATGGGGGTGAGGAACGTGAGGGAGCTGCGCGCCATCGGGGAGTGCCTCGACGCGTTGCTTCGAGCAGAACTCGATCACCTCGGCGACTTGCTGATGCAGAGAATGAAGGCGATCGAGCAGGCGACGAAGGACGGGCACTGGCAGGTGGCGCAGCATCTCGAGTTGCGCGACGACCTCGGAGTGGGCCCGACGCAGTCGGCGGAGCTGGCGGGCGCAGTGAGAAAGCACAAGAAGCTTCACGGCCTGCAGGAGAGCGTCGCGAAGGCCCGCAAGACGGGCGCCGCTGGCCAGGGGTGGGGCCGAGGGGAGGGCGAGCGGCCCTCGCCCCCCCCTCGACGGCCAGCCGCCGGCGCGGCCAAGGCGGCGCCAAATCCCCCCCCGCGTCGCCAGGCAAGCGGAGGAGGATGCGCAAGAGGCTCAACACCATGGGCCTGCGAGCTCGAGATGGGAAGGCCTCGAGCACGGCGGCGCGGGCGGCTTCCTCCCCGCGGGCGAGCGCTCCTCTCCCGAAGGCCGCCGCGAAGGAGACGACTGCTGCGGCTGGTGCGACAGGCGCGGCCGCAGCCCCGAGGACCCCGTCGCCGCGGGCGGAGCGCTCCAGCGGGCCGCCGTCGCCGAGGCCGCCCCCAGGAGGTCTGAGCCCAGGCCCCGACAGGAGGCCAGTGCTGAGGCCGCCGGGGGCAGCGGGGGGCGCCCCGCCTTCACCCCAGCGCCGCGCCCACTTCGTGGACGACGCGCCGCCCCGCCGCGCAGGCAGCCAGGAGCGCGGCGCGGGCAAGGGGAAGCCCTGGAGGTCAGGCAAGAACGCTCAGACAGGCAAGGGAGGCAAGGGCGGGCAGCGGAGCCGCCGCTAGCCTCCCGCGGCACGAGTCAGTTCGGTGGCCAGGGGGGCGCGGTCGCAGCGACCGCGGCCACGGGCGAGCCTTCGCCCTGCAGTCCCGCTGACGTCCACGGAGACGATCGATCCTCAGGAGGAGTTTCCGCCTGTCTCTGGGGACCATCCAGTGTCACTTCATCTTGCTCGGCCAGGCGCTGGGACCTCCCTCGAGTGCTTCGGTAAGTGGCTACTGTCTGCGCTTCTGCGGCTTCACAGACTTGGTGGAGCGGCACATCGCGATGAGTGGGATCGAGCAGCTGCCAATTGTGATCAAGCGTCGTACCCACCAACGTACGGCCGAAACGGTTTGAGGGATCTCCTGCCGTTGCCGACCGCAGTTCATGTGACAGGCCCCGCCCTGGCCTGTGATCTTCTCTCCACGCCACCTTTGCTGTACTTTCTATATCTTTATTCTTTTACGTTCTCTTCTCTTGTTTCACTTTGTCTTTTTTTTCATTTTTTTTAATTACTCTTTTTCTGTGTGGTTTGTTCCTTTTCTTTTATTTTTTGTGTTTTTCTCTTTTTTGGGTTCCCTGTCTCGTTGCTCCTTGCTGTTCCATTTATTTTATTGTGGAGGGTGCAGCAGGAGGGGCAAGACTACGGCAGCCACTCAGTTGGTGCTGGATTGGCTGAATTCCATCATCGAGAGCTTGAATTTCCACTATGCGCTGCACTGGGCTCCGTTACCTCAAGGCCCCCCTCAGCCGTGCAGGACCTGGCGTTGTCCAACCTTCTTTTCGAGGTTCGCGCGTTCATGGATCAATGCCGCGGCGTGGTTCCGGAGCTGGACTGGGAGCAGGAGCTGGTCAGCACCGCCACGGCGTACGACGGCGAGGAGATATACCCCGCGGAGCCGCTGGAGTTCGCCCGGTTGGAGGCCGCGCCCCCGCCGCGCGAGGCCCGATGCGCCGTCGCCGCCGCGGGCGTCACGGAGGGGTGGCTCAGGAAGGCGCTCCTCGACCCGCGGATCGTGCTGAAGGACCCTTCGGAGATCGGGGAACTCCCTCCCACGCCCAAGGCGTGGGCCTCCGACGAGGAGTGGGAGGTCATCGCGGGCGAGCTGCTGCAGCGCGGCATCTTGAAGCCGATCGAGTACACCGACATAGCGGAGGTGAACGGACGCAAGGTCTTCGGGGGCCTCTTCGGCGTGCGCAAGAGTGGACACCAGCGAGGATCAGGTCCGCAGCGCTTGGTGATGAGTATCACCCCGTCGAACGCCCTCCAGCGGCCGATCGAAGGGGACATGCCTCTCCCCCCCACAGCGACAAGTGGAAGACGCTGATATTGAGGTCAGGAGAGGTCTTGCTTTGGAGCTCGGAGGACCTGAAGTGCTGCTTCTACGCGCACGGCCTTGGGGGGGCTTGGCTGCCACACATGGCCATCTCCAAGCCAGTCCGCCGCGCCACGGCTGGCCCGGCGGGCTCGGGCGTCGTCTACGTCTCCTCGGCCGTGGTGCCGATGGGGTGGATCTCAGCGACGGGAGTGTTTCAGCACATACATCGTCGTCTGCTTCGTGCCTGGCATCCGCGGCTGCAGCAGCTGAGGGCTGAGGAGGAGCTGAGGAAGGACGCCCCAGCGCCCGCGCCCAGGTCGGCCCCTCAGCCGCGCCACGTGGGCTCCGAGCCAGCGCGCGGCTGGGTCGACGAGGAGGCCGTCGACGGGAGGCCCGTAATCTACGTTGGGCGCGGCTGCCGCCGCCGCGGCCTGGCCCCGTCGCGATGGGGCAATCCCTACCGCGTGGGCCCGCAGCGGAGCCGTCACCAGGCCGTGGCCGAGTTCGCCCACTACCTGGATGAGGAGCCGTCGCTGCTGGCGGAGCTCGACTCCTTGAGCGGCACGAGGCTGGCCTGCCATTGTCGCCCGTCTCAGGTGTGCCACGGCGACGCCATCATCAGGAAGTGGCGAGAGCGGTTCTTGGAGCCTGCCGTCTGGCGGGCCTGGCAGGTCTACATCGACAACCTCGACGTGCTGGAGGTGACCGAGTGGTGGCACGCCGCGCAGCTGAAGCAGGAGGGCCTCTGCGATGCGGCCCCCCTCGCCCGCGCCCGCTACGAGGCGCAGGGCATGCCCCGCAGCGAGACCAAGTCGGTGGCGCGGGAGCTGCAGACGGTCTCCCTCGGCGAGGCCATCGACGGGGAGCTCGGCACCATCGGGCCCCCGAAGGAGTTTGTGCTGCGGCTGGTCTCGCTCACGCTCGAGACCATCTCCCGTGAGAAGGTGGCCCAGAAGTGGATGCAGATATTCGCGGGTCGCTGGGTCAGGTGCTTTCTGTTCAGGAGGGAGGCGATGATGAGCTTCGCGCACCTGCGGCGCTTCCTGGTGCGCATTCGGGGGCACGCTCCGCGCTACCAGCGGTGGTGAAGGAGGAGCTGCTGAGCGCCTTGGCTTTGCTCCCGCTGCTGCGGTGCGACCTCAGAACCCCCGTGAGCGGGCTCGTCACCGTGAGCGACGCGAGCGTCCAGCGAGGCGCCGTCTGCCGCGGGGTTCGCCTCCGCCCCGAGGGCGCGGCCGCCGCGCGGGCCGCCAGGAAGAGGCAGCTGACCAGCTTCAGCGACGAGGCGGTCCTCGTCTCGCTCTTCGACGTGGTCGGCGGGGCGAGGCGGGCATTGGATCTGCTGGGGTTCATCCCCGCCCTCTTCGTCGCCTCGGAGACCGACGTGGAGGCTCGGCGAGTGACCCGGCACACGTGGCCCGACGTCCTCGGGGTCGGGGACGCGCGCACTTTCGGCTACGCGGAGGCCGTCGCGATCCGCGCAAGGCGTCGCACGCGAAGTGGGTCTTCCTTGTTGCTGGCAGCCCGTGCACGGACCTCGCCAGGATCAACGCGCAGCGGGTCGGGCCCTCGGGCGAGAGGCCGCGGCTCTTCTACGAGATCAGGCGCGTCAGGGACCTGCTGCTTGAGGTGATTGGGGAGTGGTGCTTCGTCTTCGAGCTGGTCGAGAACGTTGCCTCCATGGACGTGGAGCCAAGGGAGCTGATGACCGAGCACTTGGGCTTCCCCCCCATCCGCATCGACGCCGCGGATGTGAGTCACTGCCGCCGCGACCGCTTCTACTGGATTGACCCCGCCATGGTCTGCGCTTGGCAGGGCAAGGTTCAGCAGTGCGACGGCTACGAGCAGGTGGCGATCCCAGGTGGCCCAGGGGAGCCCGCCCGCTGGCTGGCCCCAGGCCTGGGATGACATGGTGATGCCGACCCGACCTTTCGCTTGCCGACGTTCCTGCGATGCGACCCCCGCCGAGCTCCAGGCCAGTTCCCCAGTGGCGTGCATAGGTGCACTGAGGCCGAGCTCCAAAGGTTGCGGGACCACGCGTATTGCTATGCCCCGTACCAGTTCCCGGACGTCAACTGCATCCAGGTTGAGGACAGCTCCTTCAGGCCGCCCAACAGCGTGGAGCGGGAGTTGCTCCTGGACTTCCTGCCTGGACACACGGCCACGGCGCGGGCCACCAGCTCGCGCAAGCTCGAGCCGCGGGCCTTGGAGCAGAAGAGGTGCGCCTTGCTGGGGAACAGCTCCCAGTGCGCGACGGTGGCCTGGGTTGTGGCCCACTGGGCGGCCAAGCAGGGCTACCTTCCGCGCGTCCCAGACGTTGCGGAGATGCGCGAGACAGGCGGTGGCGCGACCATCGCAGACCGAGACGTGGAGTTGAGCTCGTCCGACGCTGGCGTGGGGAACCTGGTCAGGCAGCACGAGCTGGAGGACCCCTCGGCCGCCGCCGACCCCAGCGTGGCCATCGTCGAGGAGATGATCCGCAGAGCTGAGCCCAGAGGGAGTGACATCCGACTCGACACCTTCGAAGCGATGAGGCCCGACTAGTGGCCACGGCGCCCCATCAGCGTGGGGCGCTGGTCGCGGAAGCCCGCGGTGGTCTGGCACTGGCAACGCCCTTCGCACACCACGGACTTGGAGGTGCGGGCGACGCCCCAGGCGCTGCACTGGAAGTTCAGAGTGTCGCGGCACCTTCGGACCAGGTTCTGCCACCTTATGGACTCGCAGGCGGGCTTGGGCGTGATCACGCGCGGCCGCCCGTTACCTACGATTCTCCACGTTGTTGTGCGACGCATTGGTGCCCTTGTTCTTGCTGCCCTCGCCCGCCCCGTGCACGGCTACGCGGAGACCGACCGCAACCCAGCCGATCATCCGACGCGGTCGGCGGCGGTCTCCAACACCCTGCGCAATGACGGCTCGAAGGGCGCACCGCTTCCAGGCAGCGGGCGGGCAGGCAGCGAGGCAGCAACAAAGGGCAGTGGTGGGCCCATTCAGACACGCGCCGGTGCAACCGCGCACGTTGATGGTCTACCTGCGCACTGCACAACAGTTCTCAGAATGGTTGAGGGGCCGCAACCTGTCGTGGTCGGCCGCCTCGAATGACACAGAGTTTCTTGACGGATTGGTCGCAGAGTGGATCGAGTGGCTGTGGCTCGAGGGCCACCCGCAGGGGACAGCTGGCAGCGCGCTCTCCGCCGTCCGGTTCTTCCTGCAGCGGAAGCGGATCCTGCCAGCCTCGTGGCGCCTTTTCAAGGCTCGGCAGAGGCTGGAGCTGCCGCAGCGCGCGCCGCCGCTGCCGCGGGCCGTCGTCGTCAGCATGGCCGCGCTGGCGCGGCACTGGCAGCGCAACGACGTCGCGGTCCTGCTGATCATCGCCTTCGCCGCCTTCCTCAGGACCTCTGAGGCCTTGACCCTGCGCCGCTGGCAGGTTCAAATAGACAGTCGAAGAGAGAGAGTCATTATCATCCTTCCTGTCTCCAAGAGCGGTCTCAGATTTCACAGGCAAGAGCATGTTGTGATAGAGGGTGCCACCGTTGCTCGCCTCTGTTCCCATATCCTTCGGCATGTCCCCGATGATAGACTGATTATGTCAACTGGGGCCCAGGATTTCCGGAAGCTATTCAATCTGCTGCTCCAGGAATTGAAATGCGAAGGCTTTAAGTTAAAGCCTTACAGCCTCCGAAGAGGAGGGGCCACTGAGTACTACAGAGTTACCAAGAATATTCTAGCCACGCTTGAGAAAGGACGATGGCTTGACAGTGCAACGGCCTGTATCTACATTATCGAAGGGCAGCAGGCCCCGACAGAGTTGCAGTTTCTAGACCATCAAATACGTAGATTTGAGATTTTAGGAGGCCTTCTGAATTTTGATGTGTACAGCGGTTCACCAGAGAGGGAAACGCGGAGAGCCTCCTCGATTCTGCTGCCCCCCTGCTCCCTCTTTGTTGGTTGTTCGCGGGCCCCCGCCCTGGGCGAAAATCTGTGGGGCCCTTCGGGGGTTTCCGATCGGCCTCGGACCTCTAGGGGGTCAGCCGCGAAGCCACTTGGGCAGGCGTGTGTGGCGGCAGCGTCGGGCTCCCCCTCGGCGCTCCCCTGCCCTGACCACGGCGACGATCGGCGCGTCTCGGAGGTGCGATCCGTGGGGGAGAGTCCCCACGGGACTTGGGTTCTGACAACCTTCTGGTGGGACGACAAAAAGGGATGGTAGAGGTTGAGAGAGAGAGCCGTCAGACACATACTTTTTAGAACTGACAGGTTGTGTCTCGCCTCACTCGCCTCGTCCTCCCTCGTCGTCACAACCGTCTCGTCCATAGCTTTGTGCTCCTTCCAACCGACCTCCCGACAAAGGTAGGGCATGTGTCTTTGGTAGGAGAGCCTCCTCGACTCTGCTGCCCCCCTGCTCCCTCTTTTTTGTTTTTTCGCGGGCCCCCGCCCTGGGCGAAAATCTGTGGGGCCCTTTCGGGGGTTTCCGATCGGCCTCGGACCTCCTTAGGGGGTCAGCCGCGAAGCCACTTGGGCAGGTGTGTGTGGCGGCTGCGTCGGGCTCCCTCTCGGCGCTCCCCTGCCCTGACCCCGGTGACGGTCGGTGCGTCTCGGAGGTGCGATCCGTGGGGGAGAGTCCCCACGGGACTTGGGTTCTGACAACCTTCTGGTGGGACGACAAAAGGGGATGGTAGAGGTTGAGAGAGAACCGTCGGACACACACACACACATGTATATATACAGACATATACATATACACATACATATACATATACCTATACGTATACAAATACTTATACAGATACATAAACATAAACATATACATATACATATACATATGCATATACAGATACCTATACATATACATAAACATATACATACATACGCACAACAATGTTTAATAATTGTGTTGAAGTTGCCGTTTTCTATGGAAAAAATGAGGTGCAAGGCGGTAACTATACTGCAAGTGTGAAAACATATCAATCCCAATCGAATGTTGCACGTGAGTTTAAAAATGTTTCAAGTATTGAGACTGCGTTTCTGAATTGTTGCGATGGTTTCGATTTTTATTTCAAGTATGTATAGATATGGGCATCAAGTACGGTAGTTTGAATTTCCTTCAACATTCTATATATCCAGCTCATTTGTCTTATGTGCTTCGAATGTTCACAACATGTTGGATGTTTGCACTAATGTATAGAGTTTGCGCGTTCTTGCCCGAATGAAGCATTTGGATTTCAATTATTGACGCTTCGCGTGTCCCCACCAGCCCATCCAGAGACGATGTCCAGCCAAGTTGAAGAGATCAGGGAAGTGGGGGAGCAACCAGAGGGACAACCGATCCGTGCAAAGGATGAGGCGGAAGAGGAGGCCAGATGGATAGATGAGTGGGTGGCGAGGAACCGAGCGAAGGAGTGATGAGGAGAATGATGACGCTGGGTGGATGGTTGAATGCCGCTCGGATGCCTCTTGGAAGCCTTTTGGAAGCCTCTTCGGACGTCTTGGGGGTCTCTTGGCGGTCGATGGGGGCTCTTGGGCGTCTTGGGTGCTTCGGGGGGGCCTCTTGAGGCCGCTTGGGTTCCTCTTGGGGTGCTCTTGGGGGCCTGTTGGAGGCCTCTTGGGGCCTCTTGGGGGTCTCTTGGAGCTTCATGGCGGCCTCTTGGAGCCTTTTGGAGGCCTCTTGGAACCATCCTGGGAGCCTCTTGGAACCTCTTGGGGGCTTCTTGGGGTCTCATGGCGGCCTCTTGGGGCCTCTTGGAGGCCTTTTGGAAGCCTCTTGGGGCCTCCTGGGCGCCTCTTGGGGCCATATCGGAGGAACTCGATCAAAGAAGAGGGTGGGGTTAATTAGCCTTGCCCCCCCAAAAGGCCAAATTGATGCCAAAACCTTGTAAAACCGATGATGTTGGCTTCCTCGCCGAGGCCGCTCTGGACGCTCTAACTACCAGCAGCCCCCCCCTGTCCAAGTCCAGGGGAGGGGTTAGGGGGAGGGGTAAACCCTTCCCCGAAGGGGAAGGAGGGAAGATGGAAGAGGAAATTCCCTAAACCACCTACGCCCAGAGGGCTGGTGGGATTATCACTTGTCAATGTAGCACATATACGATCAATCACACATCTCAGTATTTTGCATTGCTGCAATGGTTTAATGCATCGAATTATTATGAACTGGTGGTTTAAGATTCCACAAAAATGTGCTCGGACATGTTTGCGTGATTAAGTAAACCCAAAGTTAAGTAGTATCTATATGTTTTCAAATCTGGATTAAAATTCTTTACGCTTCGCGTATCCCCACCAGCCCATCTCACAACAGCAACTCTTGCGAAGCATGCCGACAGTCGTGTTTGTCAGGCGTGTGTCCGCTTGGCCCCGCATATCTCCCCTGTGACTCTTTCCTCCCGCCTCCTTGTACATCCTCCTTGTGGGGGGAGCGGGAGAAGGACGAGGCGGAGGAGGAGGGAGAGAAACCGCTCCTCGTGGTTTGAGTCGTTTGGGGTTTCTCGTCCTGGTGTGAGTCGTTCGGGCCCTTCTTCCTGGTGTGAGTCGTTCGGGCTCTTCGTGGTGTGAGTCGTTCGGGCTCTTCGTCCTGGTGTGAGTCGTTCGGGCTTCTCGTGGTGTGAGTTGTTCGGGCCCCTCGTCCTGGTGTGAGTCGTTCGGGCCCCTCCTCCTGGTGTGACTCGTTCGGGCTCCTCGTGGTGTGAGTCGTTCGGGGCCCTCGTCGTGGTGTGAGTCGTTCGGGCTCCTCGTGGTGTGAGTCGTTCGGGCGCCTCGTCCTGGTGTGAGTCGTTCGGGCCCCTTCTTCTGGTGTGAGTCGTTCGGGCTTTTCGTGGTGTGAGTCGTTCGGGCCCCTCGTACTGGTGTGAGTCGTTCGGGCTCCTCGTGGCGTGAGGCGTTCGGGCACCTCGTCCCGTCTTGGGGGCCTCTTGGCGGCCCCAGGGGCTTCTAGGAGCGTTTTGGGTGCTTAGGGGGAGCCTCGTCGGGCCTTTTGGGAGCCTCTTGGAGGCCGTGTGGGGCGTCTTGGGGGCCTCTTGGCGGCCCCAGGGGCTTCCAGGAGCGTCTTGGGTGCCTCGGGGGAGCCTCTTGGGGCCTCTTGGGGGCCTCTTGGGGGCATCTTGGGAACCTCTTGGAGGCCTCTTGGGGGCCTCTTGGGGCCATCTTGGGGCCTCTTCGTGCCTCCTGTGCGCTTCTTGGGGCCATCTTGGGGGAGATCGATCAAAGAAGAGGGGAGCTTTAATGAGCGCTGCCCCCTCAGAAGGCCAGAATGGGTGCCAAAAACTTCGTAAAATCAATGATTTTGGCTTGAAAGAAGAGGGGTGCTTTAATTAGCGCTGCCCCCTCAGAAGGCCAAAATGGGGCCAAAACCGTAGTAAAATCTTTGATTTTGCGTCCAAAGAAGAGGGGAGCATTTTTTCTCCCTCCCCCCGTCGGGGCCAGAATCCTCGTGAGGGGTGTCGTTGTTTAGCCCTCCCAGGAGTCGAAAACGACCCCTCTGACCACCCGCGAGGCGCCCTCTCCAGGCCCAGGGGGAGGGGGTAGGGGGAGGGGTAAACCCCTCCCCGAAGGGGAAGAAGGGGGTTGAGAACAGAGCGGGCTCTCTAAACCACTCACGCCCAAAGGGCTGGTGGGATTAATGAAACTAGATTTCGTTACATTGTGTGCAAATTTACAAGATAATGTTACATCTAGATTTAATTAATTTGATGGTATGGGGTATGGGTGTACAGTTAAGATATAAATTTAAACTATACCCAATTGCATTTCTCATATGAAGCCGGCTGCTTGCCTGCGTATAGACACACATATGCATATGTATATATATATATGTATATATATTAGATATAGACGTATATACATATATATATATATAAATACACGTTATACATATACTATATATGTGTACGTGTATGTATAAATATATACATATATATAACGAATGTATATATACATAAAAATGTGCGTGTGTATACATGTGTATATGGGTATATGTGTGTGTATATATATACATGTACATACACACACATATATACATATATATGTATATGTATAAACATACATACATACATACATACATACATACATACATGTGTGTAGATGTATGTATATACGTGTGTGTGTCTGTGTCTGTGTGCGTGTGTGTGTGTTTGCATACGTATAGTTGTGTATGTGTGAGTTTATGTGTACATATATACATACATACATACATACATACATACATACATACATACATACATATATGTATATATATACATATATATATGTGGTTGTGTGTGGGTGTGATTATCGTTGTCTCTCTTTCTCTCTCTCTCTCTCTCTCTCGCTCTTTCTATATGTCCCTCTATTTGTCTCTCTATATATGCACACACGCACACACACGCATATATATATATATATACATATATACATATATACATATATACGTATATGTATACGCATACATACATACATATATAT